TCCCCCCCACGGCCAGGGGGGGGGGGGGGGGGGCCGGACAGCCCCCGGCGTGGGGGGGGGCTAAACAAGCCAATTCATTTCCCACCGCTGAGCAGGTGGGGGGGGAGGGGGGGGAGGCAGCACCGACCATAATCACATGGTGGTTAAAAAAAAATAACTAGGGGCAACAAGTGGCAGGGAGGAGAGGCAAGGCCAAGGCAGGGGCCAAGGCTACCCCAGATACCCCACCCATGGCCCCCAATAAATATTTGCAGGGGATGCCTAGGCTGGTGACCCTGGCGGGGATGGGTATGCGCTAACCCTACTTCAGGCAGCGCTCGAAGTAGGTGGACCCGATGTAGCCACCTCTCATGGAGCGCTGCACATTCTGTTCAAAGAGCCTCCGGTTGTTCTGCAGGACCTCCGCGGCCTCCTTGTTCAGTGGGTCCTCAGGGTTGGGCTCCTGTGGCCAGTATAAGCAGAGGTCAACAGGCCAGAGAGGCAGATGGTCAACAGCCCCCAGCTCCAAATGCCCAACCCTACTCACCAAGAAGAGATACTGAAGGCCATAAATTATGGAGTTTATCGTAAGGACTGGCTTCCAGTCCTCTCTGTGGGCAGAGAGCATCATAGTTATCAGGGGTTGGTGAGTGGGAGGCTGCTACAGACCCTGTTGGTACTGAACAGGTCAGGCCCAGAAGAGTGAAGATGTGAGAAAGGGGGAGGATATAGAACAGGACAGTCCATGAAGAAAGCCAAGGTCAGGGCACTAGGAAAATAACTTGGAAATCAAAGGACAGAAGCACACTGACTATGCAGGAGAGGGCAGGAAGAAAGATGGAAGCAGCATCCACAAGGATTCGAGGAGGCCTGGAAGGCAGGGTTCAGGAGGGAAAAGGGAGGGTGGTACCTCACCTGAGGATGTTGAGGCAGACATTGCCCTCGAGGTCAATGTTGGGATGATAAACCATTGTCTCACACTTCACCTTGGGGGGGTCATGTGGGTAACCCTGGCCCACCTGGCTCCAGATAAAGAGAAAGGAGGTAGGTAGGTGCTTGGATGGGCCTTAGCTCCTGCTTCCTCAGTCCCCAGAGCTACTTCTGCCCACGTGGGACTTACCTTAAAACTGAACACAAACTTCCCACTCTTGTAGAAGCCCTGGGAAAGGAAAGGGAGAAGGAATTAAGGCCCTATCTTGTAGGATTTCCTCCTCTTTGTGGGGGAGGAAATCCCCCCACTCCCTCATCTGTTTTTGGGAACCCCTGCCATGTGTGCTCTGACCTCATCAGGACAGATAACCAGCTTGAAGTTTAGGAGGTCGTCCGGGTCTGAGAAGCTGATGTCACACGTCTTGGGCAGGTTAAGCTCGTTTATGTCTGAGTTTGGGCAAGCAGAGAAGGGGAAAGGGAGAGAGAGAACAGGCAAAAAAGAAAGTAGGAAGGTCTGGGTAGCTGTCAGCAGAGCCCCCATGGCCTCCTCCTGGACCTCCAGGGCTCTGCTGTGGGGTGTGCTTCCCATCTCTCTAACTCAGTCTGTACTTTCTGCTCTCTCCACTTTCCACACTCCACGCAGACTCTTCTGGATACACAGTACACAACAAACAAGCATCTTTAAGTGGAAATGAATGATCTCCTAAGTCTCCAGCCACAACTTCTTCCAACACAGTCTGCAAGAACTTCCATTTCCTTAACCTTGGCTTTCAAGAACCTCTGAGCACCCCAAACCTCATACACCCAAGGTCTGATCCCCAGTCTCCAATATTTACCTGTCCACCCCAACTCAAAAGACCATGCCCCCACAAATCATTCCTTATCAACTCTCCAGCCTCCAATGTCCTTCCTCTTTTCTGTTATCCCAAACCCTGGTTCCCATTTAACTGCCCACAACTGTCAAATCCCATCAATCTCTCTACCCTATTCCCTTTGACTCCTGAGATTTCCAGTATGTTAGCCTAAACAGTCCCTCACTTCTATTTTTCAGTCTTGGGCACCCCCTCCCTATTCCTCTTTCTGCGTGTCACCTCAAAGTAAAACCTGCTGCCTGACCCTTAGAACCTGAGTCCCTGGCCCTGAGTCACCAAGAAGAACACACTAAATCGGTCCATTTATCCTCACTTCTTAGCCTCCCACCTTGTTCTCGGCCCCTCACCCCAAAGCAAACTTCCTGTCTGACCCTCAAACTATGCCCCCTCCCCCGCCCCTAACAGACTCCAGGGCTCTAATTCAGGACTTCTGGCTCTAGTTTCCCAACGCCACATCCGCAGCCCCCATCTCAGACCCTCTCTAGTGACCGCACCCCCTCCCTCATCGCAACCCTCGGACCCTGGCCTCCCACACCCCACCTAGGCGGCCGAATTTCCCCACCCCGGTCCCTGACTTCCAACGCCCGGCCCCGACCCCCGTTTACCCTTCTGGATCCGTAGCTGCGCCGCCGACGCCTTCTTGCTGCTGCCCTTGGTGCCGCCGGCCGACTCCTCCTCCTTCTTCTGCTGCTTCAGCGAGAACAGCTTGATCATCCTGCCGCCGCCGCCGCTGCTGCCGCCGCGGGGCCCGGGACCCCGGCCACCCGGCCCCCGAAAAAAAACGCTGCCGCCGCCCGCCCGGCCTGCCGCGCTGCTCCGCGCCCACCGCGCGGCCCGCCTCGGCTCCCGTAGTCCGGCTCCTGCCTGGCTCGGCGCCTCGGGTGCGCTCGAAGGAGCTCGGACGAACTCGGCTCCGCTCGACCCCGCCCCTGCCTCTGTCCCCCCACCCCTGCCGCTCTCTCTCCTCCCCCTCTCTGGTCTGGTGAGGCCCAGCTGCGGCTGTGGACGCGGAGCTCCTGGGGTCTGCCGCTTACTCGCTGGGTCTGCGGGGAGGCTGCGGCTCGCGGAGGAAGGAGGAGGCGGCGGCCGCTGCGAGGCACTAGCGGAGGCTCCGCTGGCTGCCGTGGCAGGTGCGGCTTCGACGCGGAGGTCGGCTACGGCCTCGGGCGTCCCCGCCGCTTGGGCACTTTCCGACCGCCGGGTTCGGGCTCTTCCTGCCCTAGCTGCGTTGTGCGCCTGCGCAGCAACCTCCCCCCCCCCAGCTCCGGGTTGGAGTTTGGGGTTCGGTCTTCTTCGGTTAAGCTCGGACATTTTCGTTTGTGGAGATGACTGGTCTGTGGTCCAGCGGGCACTGCCTGGAATGTGCAGTCAGTGGAGCAGGAAGCAGTGCTTGCAGTCATCAAAAATGTTATTATTTTAAAAAATTTTATTGATTCAAGAATTTCATACAGTGTGTTTTGATCATATTCCAACCCCCTCTCCTGTCTCCCCCCACCACCTTACTACTCTCCACCCCTCTACTTCCCTACTTATGTGTATGAGTGTTTGCATGCTTGTATGCTGAATACGCACCCATGTCATGCCATGTCCGCGGAGGTCAGAAGGCGTTGGATCCCCCGGAACTGCAGTTATGGACGGCTTTTAGCCGCCATATAAAGATGCTGTGAACCTATCCCAGGTCCTCTGGAAGAGCAGCCAGTGCTCTTAACAGCGACTTTGCCCTCGGTGATTGGGTACAGTGTTGCACTTATGCAAAGGGTGGCTAGAGCATCCTTACTCCCTGAGGTCACAGGGTAGCGGGGGACTGAACTAGACAGGCTCCTAGCTCTCAGAAGTCACAAAGGTGATGCAAGGGTACGTTGACTAATGGTGCAGACGCAAGCTCCATCCTTATCCCATCTCAAATCCAAATTCCGATTGATGTGAACTACCTTAAAACTCGTATTATTCTATTATTCAGGAGGCTGAGACCTCAGGATCGCTTGAGCCCAGGTTGTTCAGGGACAGCTTGGGGAACAGCGAGATCCTGTTCCTTAAAATAAATTTCTCTGTGCAACAGAGTGGTAAGAGCTGTGGGGGTTTTAGGGTCCACAGTGGACTCGGAGATGGGACTCATGGCTGCCGCCTAGAGACTAGCAGAAGTGCTTGGGGCGTAGCTCGTATCCAATCACAGTGTGCCTGGAAGGCGGGAAGAAATGGCTCTCGATGGATCTGCGACTTCCGGCTGTCACCTAGGAAACCAGCCGGAGACCGCCGTCGCTGTTCTGCGCTTCTACTGCGTGTCTAGTCACCACTTGCAAAACGTGGCCCGAGCAGGATGGGGGCCTGGCATGTCCTTTAAGCCCCTTTGACTGATCAGTTGTGTTACTCAGCACAGCCCGCGGTCCTAGAGTCGGAGAAGTGGCCTTGATGCGCCCTTGTGTGTGGCGTACCCATCTGACCTTTCCCGGAAAGGGGCGGGGGCAGAGGTGCGTTTCAGCTGTCCATATTCAGCATCCTTTCTTACCTTTATCCTTAGAACAACAACAACAAAGAACAGAGCTGGGTCTGGGCCAAGGATGGGCGCTCAGCTTGGGTTTAGTACTAACCTGGCTTTCACCATCTGCCCTAGCCTCCACAGCCTCCACTCAAAGCCAGTTCTGGGACCCAGAAGGTCACTCCACAACTACTCTGTCTTATCCCTCCTTTTCCTAGCTACCCCTACTCTGTGCTGATTATTTTCATATGGCTCCTGTTTCAGCCGCTACTGCAGCTTCTACGTCTTCGAGACAGGATCTCACTCTGTAGCGCAAACTCATCAGGCTGACCTTTTACTCACAGTGATCCTTTTGCCTCAGTTTCCAGAGTGTTGGGATTACAGGCATATCCCAGCACATCATGGCTCAGATTCCAATGGCTGTTGGCCAGGTGGGGTTTGGAGACTATTCAGTCCCTCAGTCCTACTGATTATGGTAGCACTCGCTTGCTGAGGGTATCACTCGCTTCTGATTCTGAATTCTTCATGTTTTGGTGCAGAATCTTTGGTGTTTGTGAGGCAGGATAGAAAGATGGAGAATTATGGGGACATGAAAAGGGAAAGCCGCTCACTTTCCAGTTTGGCGAAAGCCTCTTTTCAGGAGACAAGCAGGGATTCCAGTACAGTTAACCACGGCTTAAAGGCCTATCTCGCTTCCCAGCCATATATCTACAATTTTCTAGGAATCTCATCAGAAACTCTGTTTACAGGGAAAAGATATATAGACTGAACTCCTTGTGCAGTCCTAGTGGCCTCTGGTTTGACCTTATCAGATTATAATTCCACCCAAGGCATCTCTGGAGCCACCCTGTACTGTTATCAAGAAAGAAAAGAAAGGTTTCCTAGCAACTTTTTGAAATGTAACTTGAGAGCCACAAAAATGTTATTATGAATGGCTAATAGTAATGCAGTTGAGAGTCTCCCCAAGGGATCCCCATAGCCACTCTTGCCCCTATTCTCCCTTGGGAATCACATACCCACACTTGATTATCTCTTTCTGATCACTCCCCCCAACTCTCATGCTTAAAGCTTATATTAAAATAACTTTAAAAAGATCTTATATATTGCCGGGCGTGGTGGCGCACGCCTTTAATCCCAGCACTCGGGAGGCAGAGGTAGGCAGATCTCTGTGAGTTCAAGGCCAGCCTGGTCTACATAGTGAGTTCCAGGACAGCTGGGGTTACAGGGAGACCCTGTCTCAAAAAGACAAAAAACAAAAACAAAAAAAAGGATCTTATTTAATTACATGTCCCTCTGTGTGTCTGTGTGTGGGTATGTGCACATGAATGCAGGTGTCCATGCAGGTTAGAAGAGGGCATCAGATCTCCTGGAGCTGGAGTTACAGGTGGTTGTGAACCGCCTGATGTGTTAGGAACTGAACTTGGGTTCTCTGCAAGAGCAATACAAACTCTTACTGCTGAGCCATCTCCCCAGTCCTTATATTAAAATATTTTTAATCAAATCTCCAACACTGTTTCATACTGGCTAGGGCTGCAATTCTTTTCTGTATTGAAGCCATGTATCTCAGTTTGGCCTGAGTGAAGATCACTGTAAATTCAGGGAAACTCTATAGGCTGCTGAGGGTGACAGTGTGGGGCTGTTTTTCTGTTCCCTCACCAGTGGTAGTTGAAGGGGACAAATAGGGACCAGGAAGTCTGACTCAGGTTGGCTTGTATGCTTTCCTTGACGTCAGGATTCAGTTTGGGGTGTCAAGGTGACTTGAAGTGGCAGGAGAAAGTAAAACTATTCCTGTGGAAGAAGCTTGTATACACAGACACAGACACACAGACACACACACACATACACACACACATAAAATATATATTATATATATATAGGCACCTGCATTCATGTACACATACCCACACACAGACACACAGAGGGACATGTAATTAAATACGATCTTTTTAAAGTTATTTTAATATATGTATTAAAAAATTATCTTTTTTTTTTTGGTCTTTCAAGCTGATACCCACCAGATGTGGTGGGGCACATCTTTAATCCTAGCACTTGGGAGGCAGAGGCAGTTGGATCTCTGTGAGTTTGAGGCCAGCCTGCCTGGTCTACATAGCGAGTGCCAGGCCAGCTGGGGCTACAGGGAGACCCTGTCTCAAAAAAACAACAACAAAACCCCCCAAAACAAAAAAGAACAATCAAGCTGATGCCTACCCAAAGAAAGACTTTAACTGGGGTTTAGAGCTCCAGCTGGATCTTGTGAAATGTAGATCCTTTGCTTGTTACCTGCACTTGAATAACCCATGGGGGCCAGGGAGGACTGTGTCAAAGGCCTAGCCAATGAGATGGAAGGGGAAGAACACTAAATAACACCACAAGAGGCAATGCTACTGGGCCCTGGAATTACTAGGCCTGAAGTGCCCAGGATACTGTTGAGCCCTCTATCGTGTAAGCTGTATTTCCTGCAACTTCCTGCTAAATGGACTTGCCAGCAGGAAGGAACAACCTTGTGGAAATGTGCACACAGCCAAGCCATGGTAGGAGGATCCTGTGGCTGGAGGGAGAGACATGCCAGAGGATAGAGCCACTGGTCCTGGCCTGCAGCCTGTGCTCCCCAATTTTGGGTCCCAATGAAGGCTCATCCTTCCTTAGTGCTGTTGACTGCAAACCCATGGGAACAAGAAAATCATGAAGTGTCTGAGTTTCCAAGTGAAATCTTCTAGTCCCATGCCCCCTTTCCATCATGTCCCCATATCCCCCATCTGTGCTGGGGAATAGGGGCCTTGTTTATGCTACACAACCATACTGCTGCTGAGCTACATCCCCATCCCTAACTTCCCAGCTTCCAATTTTTTTATTTTTTTTATTTTTTTGGTCTTTTTGAGACAGGGTCTCCCTATAGTCCCAGCTGGCCTGGAACTCACTATGTAGACCAGGCTGGCCTTGAACTCACAGAGATCTGCCTGACTCTGCCTTCCGAGTGCTAGGATTAAAGGTATGCACCACCATGCCCCCCGGCCCAGCTTTAAATTAAAAAAAATATATATTTAGGGACTGAAGAGATGGCTCAGTGGGTAAGAGCACTTGCTACTCTTGCAGAGAACTGGGGTTTGATTCCCAGCACTCACAGGGTGGCTCACAACTGCCTGTAACTTCAGTTCCAGGAGACCCCAAGCCGTCTTCTGGCCTCTGAAGGCACCTACATGCAGAGGTTGCACATACATATATTCAGGCGCATGTGCACGCGCATGCATGCACACACACACACACATACACAAATCTTTAAAAGTTATGGGGTTAGGGGCTGGAGAGATGGCTCAGTAGTTAAGAACACTGGCTGACCAGGGTTTGAATCCCAGCACCCACATGGCCACTAACAACTGTCCGTAACTCCAGTTCCAGGGGATCCGACAGCCTCTTCTGTCTTCCTCGGGCATTGCATGACATGGGTGCACTTACCTACATGCAGGTAATACACACATATAAAATAAAAATAAAATATTAAAAAAAATGGGGTTATGGGGCTGGAGAGATGGCTCAGTGGTTAAGAGCACTGACTGCTCTCTAGAGGACCTGAGTTCAGTTTCTAGCACCCACATAGCAGCTAACAACTGTTCCTAACTGTAGTTCCAGGGGCCTGAGGCCCTCTTCTGGTCTCTGTGGGCATTGCACACATACATACACACAAAGACTCATACACATGAAAAGATAAAAACTGTGTGTGTGCGTGTGCATGTGCACATACACATGTATGCACATGGTTCCAGTGTGGTCAGAGGACAACTTGTGGGACTTGATTCTCTTCTACCACATCAGTTCTGGTAATCCAACTCAAGGCATTAGCTTGGCAGCAAGTACCTTTATTCCACTGAGCCATCTTTCCAGCTTTTAATTGGCTCCTAGGTATAAAGGAGTCTTACAAACATCCTCAGGCAAGACCTACCTTGTCAGGTATTAGTGTGCTATTTCTGTGCCATGGGGTGTTCATGTCTGTCTGGGGAGAAGTGGGATGGTCTGGGTCCTCACTTGGAGGTCAGCTTGGCCCACAACCCAAAGGACAGCTGTAGAGGGAGTGGGTGTGAAAGTTTTGGGCACTATGGCCTAGGCATGGTGCTACGCACAAGCCTGGAAGTTGAGTGATCCTGCAGGACCCATGTGGGATTGGCCCTGCGTTTGTATCTGCCAGAAAGCATGCTGCTCCACTAGGGGAGGCTGAGCAGTCCTTTGAGGATGAACTCTCTCCAGTGCTTCTCCCACTAGTGGAAAGAAATTTTTGCCTGCTTGTTTCATGGGTGGGGTGCTGTTAGGGTGAAGGTGACTGGACAGCTTCTCTGGCCATGAGGAAAGGCAGTGTCATGGGAATGGAGGGCTTCAATGCAATCCCTCTGGAGACTTGAGTTCACTTCCTACCTCTCCCAGGCCCTGGAAAGGGATGTGTGTGTGCACTTATGTGCCATGGTGAGTATGTGGCTTGAGGTCACCTTTCGGGAGTTTGTTCTCTCCTTCCACCATGTGGGTTCTGGAGATGAAACTCAGGTTGTCAGGCTTGGTGGCATGTATCTTTATCAACAGAGCTAGCTTACCCTCAGTGTGTGTGGTGTGTGTTAAGATTTATGTGTATATGATTTTATATGTCTATTGAGCGTATGTGTGCACCACGTGTGTGCAGGAGCCCACAGAGTTCAGAAGAGGGTTTCAGATCCTCTAGAACTGGATGGAATTACAGAGGGTTGTTAGCTGCCCCATGGGTGCTTGGAGCTGAACCTGGGGCCTCTGCAAGAGCAGTGCTTATAACTCCTGAGCTGTCAGTCTAGCCCCTCAATGTGTTTCCGAGGCAGGATCTTCCTGTATAGCTCAGACTGGCCTCAATCTTCCTGCCCGCCTCAGCCTTCCAAGTGATGGGGCAGTTACAGGTGGGTACTACCACACCTGGCCTGATCATCTTCTTCAACTACCCACCAGCCATGTTGTTAGCGGCTTTCTTTTTGGTGGTCTTTTTGAGACAGGGTCTTCCTATAGCCCTGGCTGGCCTGGAACTTGCTATGTAGACTGGGCAGCCTTGATCTCACAGAGATACACTTATCTCTACCTCCAGAGTGCTGGCATTAAAGGCGAGGGCCATCTTAACCCGTCTAAGTGGCCCTTTCTCTTCACTAGATCCTGAGTAATTAACGATGCTGCATGGCAGATGCTCACAGAGAACCTGACCTCCTTTGAGTCTGTGTGCTCACAGCTACTCGACCTAACCTGGAGCTGAGCATCCTGTCTGTATAAGCCAAGGGCATGGTACAGGATATACCCCGCAAGAGAGCAGAAGTGGTATGATCTCTCTCGCGGAGTCGGGATACATAGCACTCCCTCCCAGGAGGCCCCGTGCGCAGAGGGAGTGCATTAGCATCGAAACAGCATCGAGAGTGGGCAGACAGTGACCGCGTGGTTGGGGAGGCACCATTTACTGTTTATTAAGCACCTACTGAGGGCCAAGCCCTGGGCGGGCCCGCTACTCCATTCCCGCCTCACAACAACCCTGTGAGGTAGGTGTTTCTTTTGGACCAAGGAACACGTGCCAGCAGCACTACTCCGTGCTGTGGACGCGCTGGTGCTGGATGAGCTTGGTGCTCTGGTGGAAGCGGCGACCGCAGTCCTGACAGGCAAATGGCTTCTCTCGCCGGTGGGTGCGCAGGTGCTGCGTGAGCGTGGGCCTCTGGCGGAAGGTCTTGCCGCACTCGGGGCACAAGTAGGGCCGCTCGCCGGTGTGGATGCGCCGGTGCTGGGTGAGGTTGGCATGTTGGCGGAAGCTCTGGCCGCACTCGGGGCACGTGAAGGGCCGCTCGCCGGTGTGGATGCGCTGGTGCTCGGTGAGCCGCGACACCTGCGTGAAGCCCAGGCCGCACTCGCCGCAGTGGTAGGGCTTCTCACCGGTGTGAGTCCGCTGGTGGCGCGTGAGCTTGAGGCGCTGGCTGAAGCGCTGGCCGCACTCGGGACAGGCGAAAGGCTTCTCGCCCGTGTGCACGCGCAGGTGCTGCGTGAGCGTGGGCCGCTGGCGGAAGGTCTTGCCACATTCGGCGCAGGCGAACGGCCGCTCGCCAGTGTGGATGCGCCGGTGCTGCGTGAGGTTGGAGCGCTGCCGGAAGCTCTGGCCGCAGTCAGCACAGGCGAACGGCCGCTCGCCGCTGTGCACGCGCCGGTGCTGCAGCAGCACCGAGCGGCGGCCGAAGCGCTCGCCACACTCCACGCAGCCGAAGGACTTGTCTCCGGTGTGCACCGCTTGGTGTTCTAGCAGTACGGCACGCCGCGCGAAGCTCTCGCAGCACTCGCTGCACGGGAAGGGGCCCGGGGGCTCGGGCGCGCCGGGAAGGGCGGGCGGCGCGGTGCCGGCGCCCGGGGGGTCGCCGTGGATGCGCTGGTGCTGCAGCAGGTTGGAGCGCTGCCGGAAGCTCTGGCCGCACTCGGCGCAGCGGAACGGCTGCTCGCCGGTGTGCACGCGCCGGTGCTCCTCCAGGCGCGCGCTGCGCACGAAGCCCTGGCCGCAGTCGCGGCAGACGAACGGCCTTTCTTCGGTGTGCGTGAGCTGGTGGCGCAACAGGTGCGAGCTGCGGCTGAAGCTGCGGCCGCACTCGCCGCACACGAAGGGCCGCTCGCCGGTGTGGATCTTCTGATGTCTCAGCAGGTTGCTGCGCTGGCTGAACACCTTGCCACACACGTCGCAGCAGCCGCCTCGCACGGCTCCGGTCCCCGAGCCAGGGCGGCCTCGGCCACGGCCTCTGGGGGCACGCCAGTGGGTGGCGACCAGTGCGGGGTCCATGCCGGGAAAAGGAACCTCGTTCGCACGGTCCTGTTCGCCTCTAGGGTCGCTGGGGAGCACCAGTGCATGGGCGAAGTCACCTTCGCGGGAGGGCGACCGGGTCTGTCCAGAGAGGCTGGCCATGCCGAGATCCCAGGGGACATGGAGGTGGGGGCTCATGGTATCTGCCTCTGCTGAGATGCTGTCCATCTGGAGCGCAAAGCCTGCACGAGGGAAACCATTCCTTCATGAGACTTTGGCTTTCTGCACTGACCCACTGAATCCAGGGAGACCCTGAACTACAGACCTGCAATTGGCTAGCCAGGCAGACAGGACAGGAACAGTGATTCTATCTGAACCGGCTTCCCTGAGCTGGGCAGAGCCCTGAATAAGGAGAAAGACTGGGGTGTGTGAAAAGGCTTTTCTGACTGGAATTAATCCGAGGGAGGAATGATCACCTCTTTGTGGAAGGGCTCTAGGGCGACAGTGGGACCCCGTTTAGATCGGCAATATGGGACTCCACAGATGCTGAGAAGCAAGTGGATGTAATAAAGGCCAGAGGTAGCATCAACAGGAAACAGGACGGGAAGCCAGTAGGGATGCAGATTTGAACTTTGGTCTGGGGTTTGAACTTGTCACTCTTTTGAGATGCAGAAGGCACATCCAGAACCCTCTCCTTGTAGGCTTGGGGGCTGGGGCTGAACACCCGCCTACATATGATCAACATGGGGGCTGTGTTTGGAGAAGTGTGTCCTTGCCACACAGCAAGCCTGAGGCACAATGGATATTGGGTTAAGATGATAGAGCCTTCCAGTGTAAGAGGCCAGGTGAGGGATGAGGCAGCTGGGGTTGGAGAAGGAAGCCTAGAAGTTACATCAGGAAGAAACAGTAGCAGGGACTATGGTGGGTGACAGAAAATCCATGAGCCATTAAAGGAAAGTAAGATAAATTAGAATGCATCAAAGCAAACCAGCAAAGAACCACTTCAGAATCAAACGCCAAGCTAAAAAACTCTCCAGAGTTGAAAGGCTAATTAATTTCCTAAAGAGTTTTGGTCACTCAAGAGTGACCTGACAAACACAAGGTCCAAGAATGTAAACAAAAAGGAGCTGTAACTTATTGTTTAAGCAAGCCCTATAGAATATGCTAGTCTTTTAGAAAAATGCATAGTAGGTAGAATTGATCCACTTTTACCAATTCTCAGCATTTTTGCAGTGACAGGAATTGAACCCAGGAGCTGGTTTGTGCTAGGCAAGTGTTCTGCCATTGGGCTGTTTACAAATTCTTTTTTAAAAAAATATTTATTTTATGTGTATGAGTGTTTTGCCTGCATGTATGTGAGTGCACCATGTTTGTGCAATGCCCTGCAAAGGCCAGAAGAGGGTGTTGGATCCCCTGGAACTGGAGTTATGGACAGTTGTTAGTCACCATGTTGGTGTTGGGAATTGGACCCAGGTCCTATGGAAGAACAGCAAGTGTTCTTAACTGCTGAGCCATCTCTCCAGCCACATTCTTAAATGCTAATATGCACTGCTGGTACACAACAGAAATTGGGAGCCACTGTTGCAAAATTGCATCAAAATAGCAAATGAGCAGGGGGCGGGGTAGGGGTGGGTGGCTGTACATGCATCTGATTGCAGCATTTTCCAGACGCAGGCAGGACTTCAAAGTTGTCATCTGCTACAGAGTGAGTTAAGGGCCAGCCTGGTTACATGAGATTTTGTCTTGAAAACAGACACACACGAGCACTGACATACACCGTACCACAAACAAACCTACAGAAAAACCAAAGCAGCATGTGTTCCACGCCGACCCAGTAACTGCAACGGCGCCCCCTGCTGTTTGCTGACCATGTGGCACAAAAGCAGGCATGGAACAAAGTGACTTGGACATCCATGAGGTTTTTTTTTTTTTTTCTTCCCCCCTTAATTTTTTTTTTTTTTTTTTGGTAACATTTTATTTACTGGTGTGTATGTGTGTGGGTGCTCATGTGGAGATCAGAAGACAACTTGCAGGAGTCGGTCCCCTTCCTTCATCCGGGTTCCAGAGATTGAACTCAGGCTGTCAGACTTGGCAGCAAATGCCTTTACCTGCTGAGCCATCTTGCCAGGCAAGGTTTGTTTGTTTTTAAAACATTTTTAAAATTTAATTTTGGGGGGCTGGAGAGATAGCTCAGCGGTTAAGAACACTGCTCTTGCAGAAGACCCAGGTTTGGTTCCCAGCACCCACATGGCAGCTGACAGCTGTCCCTAACTCCAGTCCCAGGGGATCCGACAGCCTCTTTTGACCTCCGAGGGCTTTGCACCACATGGTGTAGAACTCTGAGACCCTCTTCACCCGCTACCCCAATCCCTCCAGACCCCCACTAATTGCTCTTTTAGCTTCTGTAAAATGCTTAGCTGCTGCTTTACACATGCCTAAACACGCCCTGGCATGCCCTGACTCCCACCTGCTAT